GCTCAGCACCCCCAGACGCAGGACGCGAGTCAACAGCTACCTCGACAGGCTCAGCCGGGTCTACCTGGGACACACCTGAGGGAGCGGCACCCTGAGGGGGGAGGGGGTCTGGTACCTCAGCACCTGGAGCGAGGAAGAGAGGTGGGGGGGGGAGCGGGGCAGTGCGGTAGGGGAAGAGGCGGTAGAAGGGGACGGACTCGTCAAAAGTGACGTCCTGAGAGGCCAGAACCCGGCGCGAGGTGACGTGGTAAAACTGCCATCCAGGCGCGTCGGGAACAAAGCCAAGAAAGACACAGGGAACAGTGCGACGCGAGAGCTTGTCCGCGGACGTGTCGCGGACAAAAGCTCGAGATCCCCAGACCCGGAAACGCGACGCATCGCCAACCTCTCCCGTCCACCGTAGAGTCGGGGAAGTCTCCGGCAAGGACACACGGGGCCAGAGGTTGAGCTGATGCGCTGCGTACCGGACCGCAAACGGCCACAGAAAGTGGGGAGCAGCCGCATGGGTCAGGGAGGTACGAGCGACCTCCATGACTAAGCCAATGCGGCGCTCAGCAACCCCATTCTGCTGTGGAGAGGCCGGAAGCGTGTACGACTGCTCAATGCCGTGCTCAGCACAGTAGGCTGCCAAGAGGTCGGAGGCGAACTCACCACCCCTGTCAGAGTGCAAGCGCAGGACAGGAAAGTCCGAGTGAAAGCGCTCGCCTAGCTGGAGACGGGCTCGGCTGATCCAGGGGATCAAAACACCAGGGACGTCACCCTTGGCGCGCAAGGGGAAGACCGTGGTGTAGCGCGAGTAGTCGTCAACAACTATCAGGAAGTACCTCTCCTGACCCTGACCACGGACGCGGGCCGGGCCCCACACGTCCATGTGGAGCGTCTGCAGGGGAGCGGTCGTCGGGGGAAAGGAGGAGGAGTGAGGAGTGGCGCGCTGCCGCCCCTCGACACAGGGAATGCAGTCAGGAGCAGGGGAGTCAGGAAGGGGAGGGAGCACCCTGGGAAGACCAGCAACAAGGTCCCGTTTGTGCATGGCCCGCAGGCGCTGCACAGACGGGTGACCAAGGCGGTGGTGCCAGAGGACAGTGTCGTTCGCCAGAGAGCGACACGAGCAGGGGGCGGACAGCTGACCTGACGCTGACGCAGACGCAGACGCAGCTACCTGAGGGGACTCAGTGGTCAGTGTGTACAGGTCAGACCCCGGCTCTCGAGTGAAAGTAGCTAGGTGGCGGCCCGTCCGAGCACACGTGCAGTGAGTCACACGCTCGTAGGCAGGGGTGAACTGGTGAACACCCGAGTCCTGGAGCGCACTACCTGCCACCAAGTTCGTGGAGAACGAGGGGAGGTAGAGACCTGAGAGCGTGCCGGACGGAACCGCTGGACACGGAAGGGTGGTGGAGGAGGTCGCAAGGACCGGACCCCCAGAGGGGTCAGCAAGAGAGACAGCAACCGGCCGAGCTAGAGGCTCAAGGACAGTGCGGTCACGAAAGAAAGAGCGAGAAGCACCTGAGTCCAGTGTGAAGGTGTGCAGTGCTGCAGTCGACTCAGTACCAGGGGGCACAGACGCACAAGCACCTAGAGCAGCAGCTGCAGAAGTACCTGCGGAAGCAGACACACTAGCACCTAGAGCAGCAGCGGGGCTGGCCTGAATGCCCGGGTCGGGCGGAACACGCAAGTACTGAGCACCCTCTCCACTAATAGACATCGCATACATGGCAGTGAGAATAGCATCAAAGTCAAGTGCCCAAATATCAACACCCTTCCTGAGCAGATCAGCCCAGCGCGGCAGCTCACCCCCACCAGGAAACTGAGTGCGCCACGCATCGTTGAGGCGGGCGAAGCAGCGCTCCGTCTGGTGCGGCCCCCCACACGTCTGGCCAGTGCGGTCACCTGTACGAATAACGTACTGACAGGTGACGCTGCGCCGCGCATACCACTCACGGGCGGCCTGAAGGGTCGGGGCAGGCTGCTGACTCTGACCGCCCCCCGGGCCTCCACGACCACCACCCCCTCCGCCTCCGCCCCGGCCACCTCCACCCCTGCCGCTGCCACGACCACCTCCGCCTCCGCTGCCACCTCCGCCCCTGTCACCACTCCCAACACCGCTGTCACCTCCACCACCGCCGCCACTAGCCTCTCCAGTCGCACCTCCACCGCCACCACCTCCACCCCCGCCTCCTCCGCCACCACCCCCACTCCTGCCACTCCTGCCCCTGCGTCGTCCGCCTGAAGCAGACGCAGCCCCGACCTTCTCAGCACCAAGGAGGTCGACAGCAGCAGCAGAGGCGACAGAGGGGAGGAGGGGGGAAGGGGAGCACCCCTCGAAGAAGGGGCCGCGGGGGTCGCCACGAGAGGTGCCTACAGCGACGATACTAGCCTCGGCTGCAAGCAGTTCCTTCTCGAGGAGGGCTATGGTGAGCTCAGTGGGGGAGCGAGAGAGGAACTGGTCCCTGACAGGGCGCAGAGAGTCAGGGAGGCGGGTGACAACGTGGTAGAGAGTGATCCAGAGCGGGGGGGGGTTGCTAGCGAGGAACTCATCAGGCATGGCAGCGCGAAAGCGAGCCTCACTAGTCTTAAGGTGGGTGATGAGGTCTGCGACAGTGTGAAAAGAGGCTAGGTCGGGGAACAGGTAGGGGAGAGTGAGGCGGCCTAGTGTGGCAGAAGCGGGTGAGGAGTAGCGGGCCACTACAGCTGTGTAGAGGTCCTTAGCAGTCTTGCACTGGCCGAAGTGCTCGCGCTCATCTAGCGGCAGGGAGTTGCGAATAGCAAAGCGAGCGTGCGCGTCACGGGTCTGCCACTGTGAGCGCTCAGCTGGGGGGGCAGTAGCGAGTGGGGCGGTCGCATGGCCGAGAGCGTGGTCGTACAGTGTAATATCTTCCTTGGCAGTGAGCTGTAGGAAAAGGTGCAGGTCATCTAGCCAGGTTTCGAATTTGACCGGACGGCCCTCGGCGTCGAAAGCTAGAACAGGAGGACTAGCCATAGCGACAGCGGCAGTAGTAGAAGCAGTAAAGTCACTGAACAGGCGTGCGCAGGGTCAGCAGGGCCGGTGGGGCCTACGGACTGTAGTGGCGCACAAGCAGCAGTAGTAGGAAGTGTAGTAGTAGGATCTGCAGTGGTGCACAGGCGCAGCAGGCGGCAGCGAGAGCCGGCGCAGCAGGGGCGGGCTCAGCAGCGGTGATACGCAGGCGGCAGCGGGCGCAGCAGCGGCGGTGCGCGGGCGGCGGCGGGCTCAGCAGCGGCGGTGCGCGGGCGGCGGCGGGTTCAGCAGCGGCGGTGCGCGGGCGGCTGCGGGCTCAGCAGCGGCGGGCCGGGAGCAGTGCGGGCAGCGTGCGGGCCGGCGGCGGTCAGCGCACGAGCCGCGCAGGCTCAGCGCGGGCTGTGCGGGCTGCTCGCGGGCTGCGTAAGCGGGTCGCGGGCGGCTCGCGGGGGTTCGCGGGCAGGTCGCGGGCTGCTCGCGGGCAGTTCGCGGGCTGTGCGCGGGCTGCGCGGGCTGGTCGCGGGCTGCGCAGGCGGGTCGCGGGCTGTGCGCGGGCGGTTCGCGGGCTGTGAGCGCGGCGCGCTGTGCGGTTCGCGGGCGGCGTGACGGGGCCGATCGGGGCGCTAAGGGGCGACGCGACGGGGGCCGTGAGAGGCCGCTAAAAAAAAATTTCGACGGGGCCGCAGGGCCGCTAGATCGTGCTAGATCGACGGGGCCAGCGGGGCCGGAAACAAGCGAAGGTAAGCAGGTAGGTAAGTCGGTGGGCCCTAAGAACAGTCCTAGTGAAGGACCTGCTCTGAAACCATGTCAGAAATAACTGAGCAGGAATGAATGAACTAGAACAGAGTTTGGTACAAGTAGGAAACCCTAACTTTGTGTACCCCCTAAGGTGTAACCCACTACAGCCTAGACAATATAAACATGCAATGTTTGACAGAGGTCACTGCTTGTATCCTGGGGCACAGGATAAGGCAGTGTTCCAGCGTCTCCTGTTCACCGCAGTATGGGCATGCGGGCTTGCTGCTGAGGAAAGCCAGTCTTTCCCCCACCTGCAGATTCAAGCCGTGGATGCGGATGAGAACATCCCGTGGACGGCTGGGAACAGCCAAGGAGTCCCGAGTCATCACAACCCGCTTCCAATCAATGTGATGCCCCCACCGCACACCCCACTTCTGCTGCTTGTATGATTGGCTGGTCGTCCCCTTCCATCCATCCTTCATCCGCCTCATGGAAACCACTCTTCCTCCTTCCAGGATTGGGACGCGCAGAGGAGAGCCAGCCAAGCGTGGAGGTGCAGTAGGGAAACTCAGAAGTTTTTGCCAGTGAGACGGGGATGCTAGCAGCGCTTTCATCGCTAGCTTGGCCGGCCCGTTACCACCCAACTCCTGCTTCAGAACCGCCATGGATTTTACCACCGCAACTCCATCTTCCTCCCCTTCCAGTAAATCACCAATACGTGTGTGTTTCAGACTCTGAGCTTCTTTCTGCCCCCCGACCGGGGTGGTGCCGTTGAGTAAGATGTCCTTATTGAAACACAGCCTCTCCTGTAGAACCTCCTCCCTGCTGGCCACCAAACTTCTGACCGAAAAGGGCGACCGCATAAAGCTCTCCGCCGTCTGTTTCCACCGTAAACTGCCGCTGCCCCAGTGTTTGAGCAGTTTTTCATGCGCGGTGAAGGAGTCAATCCCCAACGGAAGCTGCGCCGCGCACTCCATCAGGTCCCGTTTGAGCGGGTTCTGTTCCGTGAGGAACAGGCCAACTCTCCTTGCCGCCAAGCATGTGATAAGTGTCAGAATATTATGCTCTAGCCTGCAGTGGGGTGCTCTATAGCGAGTACAACCCTTCTAGGGTTAGCTATTTGTACCACCATTGTTGCTAGTGCAAACCCTCCTTTGCTTCATTCTCTCTTGCCTAGCTAGGTCAACCCTAGCTATGGCTCCTCATCGTGCTAACTATCACGACAATAAGGATTTCCGGGTCTCTGACCCCGATCCCTCCGTCCAGTCTCGGGGTGTAAAGCAACTCCCTACTCCAGAGGATGAAGCTTTTTGCCGTTGCAACCCTGTTTCCTGATGTGAAGCTGTGCAGTAGACGCATGATCTCCAGCCAGATAATTGCCGGCGGCGGGTAGATTTGCGCTTGAAACGCCAGGATTGGCGTGATGTAGTAATTGACCACTGTTGCCCTTGCTGTGATTGTCAGGTATTTTAACTGCCATTTGGTCAGCTTCTCCGATACACGGCTCCACGTCTTCTCCCATGTTGGCAGACCGTTGCCAGACGGCGTCACCCACACCCCCAGTAACCGCTCTGCTTCGTCCGCACCGGCCCATTTGAAGCCACCAGCTCCATTATCCATCGCTCCAATATTATCCCCCAGAGGTAAGACCACCGATTTCGACTTGTTCGTCGCCAGTCCCGACGCCTTCTCAAAACGATCCAGCAATACCTCCGCTTGACCGATCTGCTCCCTTCCTTGCAGGACAAGCGTCGTATCATCCGCGTAACCGAGATACCCGAGCCGGTGCCCTTCTTTCTCAAGACCGAGCCCCCGCCTCTCCACTTCAAGGGCCAACGGTTCCACCGCGCACAGAAACAAATATGGCGCCAAGGGACAACCCTGCCGGACCCCAGAAACCACGTCCACACCATCGCCGAGCCAGCCATTAATGAGAAGTTTGGTTGTTGTTCCCTCGTGCAGGCCCTTAACCCAGCCAACAAGCCGCTCTGGGAAGCCCATCTTCTCCAGCACGCTGAAAAGGAACTCCCTCGAGACCGAATCAAATGCTTTCTGGAAGTCAACCAGAAGCAGGTACCAATCCTTCTTCCCGTTTTTCGCGCCTTCGATAATATCCGCGACCAGCGCGACTGCATCCGACAGACGTCGACCAGGGATAAAGCCGTACTGCTCCGGTGAGATAACCATGTGCAACACCGATTTCATACGATCTGCTACCACCCGCGCCAGAACTTTGTAGGTGAAATTCAGCAGAGTGATCGGGCGGTAATTATTGAGCTGCTCCTTGTCTCCCTTCTTGTGCAGCAAAATCGTTACCGCTTCCTTCACTTCGGCCGGCAGAGAAGCGCTGCTCTCGAAGCTCTTCGCCATCACCATGAAGCTCTCCCCCAACAGGTCCCAGTGAGCCTCAAACAGCTCCTTCGGCAGACCATCACTTCCAGGTGATTTGTTCCTCGCCATTGCCGCGAAGGCCTTCTTCACCTCCTGTTCTGACCAATCTGCTGTCAGTTTTTCAGCCACCCTTTCATCCAGCCGGCGAGCTGGGTTAAAATTCCATTCTGCTCCCTCGACCGGATGATCAGCCCCGAAGATATTCCTGAAGTAACTCGACGCCGCCTGCAGGATTTCTTTGAAGCCAGTGATCGACATCGCGCCGTCTTTCAGCTCCGAGATTTGAGTGCGCACCTTCCGCGCTTGCACCTTCGCTGAGAGATGCTTCGAGGCGATCTCTCCTGTCATCTCCGCCGTAGAACCCGGTTGAAGGTGCATACGCTCCTTTCTGGACGCTTGATACATTTTCAGCTGACTCTCCTTCAACTTCATTTCCTTCGTTCTGGTGCAGAGAGGGTCACCCATCAGCTTCTGCATCAGGATCGCCACCGTATTGGTCAGGTGAGCTACCGTCGCTCGGACCCTTTTGCTTTCCTCCCTTGCGTAAGCTCTGAGCCCAGCACTGAGTCTGGACACCAGCAGGTCAAAGCTGCTGCCATCATTGACCGGGGTCCTCCGCACCGTTGCCTCAATTATTTTCCGCACCCCAGGACTGTTCACCATCAAAGCCTGTAACCTCCACAACCCTGGCCCTGTGCAGGCCTTCTCATCCAACCTGAGAGCAGTTAATATTGCGAAGCCATGGTCTGCTACGGGTTCATCGGGCTTAACATGGCCTGCAACCGTCAGGTAAGGCAGAAGAGATTGCGAGACCAAGGCACGATTGATTCGCGTGCTGACCCGTTTTGACTTAGAGTAAAAGGTGTATTCTCTGCAACCCGGGTGAAGGATGCGAAAAGCATCAGAGAGCTGGAAAGTCTTGCATCTCTGAAATAACTTCTCATTCTCGTTCGAAGTTCCCTTGCCTGACGACTTATCTAGCTTGCAGTTTTCTATGTGATTAAGGTCCCCTATTATCAGCAGATGGTCTGTCGCAGGGATCTAATCTACCAGAGGACCGAGAGAGTCGCGGAGGAAGACGGATCTGGTCTGAGGACTAGCAGGGAAGTACACCGCGAGCAGTGTAAGATCCGGGCCTAGACCCCTGACCGTAGTCTTAACTATTCTACCGCACGGGTGAGGCAGTGTGTCGTGAAAGGTGATGGAAGGGTGGTTACTAAGGATGGCTACTCCACCCGCTCTCGTTCTAGGGGCTGTCGCTAGCACTGTGTGGGATGAAAGGCTTTTCCAGTAAGGGTGGTCTACATCTATTCTAGTGTCAACTAGGACTGCTATATCTCCTGCCTGGCTGAACCAGCTATTGACTCGGCTTTGCTTCGCTACGTCTGAGAGGCCGTTGACATTGAGGCTCGTTATGGTGAGGTGGTTTTTCTTAATCATGATTCCACTGTCTTGCAGCCCCTGATCATCCACAGGCTGGTAAAAGAAACAACACACGCAACACTGACACCCAGACTCCAGATTGCCGCCATCTCCAGCTTTCTGTCAGAGATATCTACACTCCGTACTCCTTCCGAATAGCTTTGAGGGACATCTTCTCGAGGGACTGCTTGGTGGCAGCACCGGCCTCCTCCAGGTGAAGCATGTGAGCAGCAGTAGCGATGTGAGCTGCAGCTGACATGAGGCTCTTGCCATGAGCCTTCCCGCATCCCTCTTGCGTACACAGCCACTCTTCTCTGTTGGTACCGGTTGAGATCAGTGCCAAAGCAGGGTCTCGGAGCAAGGGAAGGATGAACGCGGAGGCTTTCATGGAGGCAGCTGCAAGTATCACAAGAGAGGTCAGTAAAAGCTGTAAGAGGAGAATGCTGAAAAAGAGTTGGAGAGATCATAGTGTTGACTGTCAGCCGTGAGCATCCATTACCGTTGAGTCTGTGTGCCTTTCCCAAAGACAAATTCCACTTTCCTATGTTATTCTGCCGCTCAGTAGTGAAAGCATTATGATACTTATCATAATGCTGACCCCCACAGAGCGAGCAGGAGAGCGAAGGATAGTGGACCAGCAGTTTCTTCGCGCGGTCTGCTGGGTCCGGAATCGTATGAATCCAGCGGTGAAGATCCGCAGGGTGAGCGTAAACCAGTCCCTTCACCACATCCGTATCCACCCCCGTGACAGGGTGAAGAACCCGATGAAGGCAGGTGCAACGCTGGAAAGCCGGCTTCCCACGGCTCTCAATGTTGAACACAGCCAGGCGCTTCTGGATCGAAGACAGCTCCACTTCCGCCGAAACACCTTTGACAATGACTTCGATTGCCTGCGGGTTTTGCGCCTTCTCCCGTGAGAAGGTAGGATCAGCAGTATGAAGCCAATGCAGTTTGAACAGCTTGCCGTTAAGTGCCTGATAAACCACCTCCTTCCTTCGTACTGTTTCCGCATCTGTGTCGTGCAGGAAGGAAGCCTGAAGACGGCAGTACCGCAGCTTTGCAATGTAAATTGTAGGGAGCTCCTGAAACTTCACCTCCATGTACACATCATCCGAGAGTTCTGTGCACCAACCACGTTTTATCAGCATCTTCAGAGCATCCAACACACAAGCAATTTCCAGATGCAGAATAAACGGAATCAGCAGAACAACAGTGGAGCGCAGGGTCGCAGCAACTTCAGTGCTCAGATCAAGTTCCAACTCGTCGTCAGAGACTTCGTCGATGAAACCATCAGCATCGGTAAGTAGCTCTGATGATGCAGCTTGATCACGCGAAGCACCAGCGGTAACCGAGGTATTATTAGCAGCGCTGTCAGCCGTGACATTGTTGACTGCAGACGAACCATTGTCGCCATTAATAGATTCTTGCTGGTTGGCCGCAGGAGGAACAGGAGCATCAGCATTGTCAGCAGACTTGGAACGCGGACCCTTCGGCAGGGACAGGAGATCAGCCGGGTGTGACATCGTGCAATGATGAAAAATAACTGGCAGAGCAGCGAGGTGGTAAACACCAATGAAAGCTGTGTGAGAATGATCTGCCTGATGACTGAGCACGGCCTGGTTATATAGTCTTCTGAACTTGTCAGGCTCCTTAGAATACGTAAACTTGTAAGGCAATTCCGATGCTGGACTCTTGAGAACTTCAATCTTAATAAGTTGGTTGTAGTCATTGTCCAGTAAACTTGTTGAAATATAGACTGCATGGTTAGGAACAAACGTAGGCCACAATCTCGAGGATGCCTGACGAGCATTGAGAAGCGCTGCCTGATAGCCGGGAACACCAAGATCAGCAGAAATGACCGGTTGTCCGTTGTCAGAACTATAGGCAAAGCATTGGGGAATGTCGAATGCTCGCGCGTTGCATCGAAGCGAAGAGCTTGGTAACAACTTGTCCGGTAAAATCCATGGCCGCCGTAAGGCGGCAAGAGCGGAGAGCTTCATCTGGTTTGTCAAGAGATTCCTGAACTTCCGTACAGGGCTACGGAAATGAAGTATGTGCAATTGAGCTCAAATGAGCTCAAATAGGAGAAAACCTAACAGCTCCACTTGAAGCAGATTCGAAGGGCGAATACAGTGGACTAGCTCACTTCATTGCTTTCAGTCCTAGGTTGAGCTCATACAGTGAAGCTGAAAAAAAAGCGCTGAGAAATTCTGTCATCAGTGAAAATCTGGATCAATATATATAATCCAACTGAAGATGCATAACATGAGAATCCATTATATACGAGCAACATTTAAGCCTGAATTACTCCAGGATGCCAAGCCCTTATAAACTCTGCAGACTTGGTTCGGGCCATAGTACGGTAAGGGAGCAATGATAGCTAGCCCAACTTGTTGCGTCCCCTGTATGATCACAACACAACTTGTCTTTCTCGGGTTCCGCACAGGACACTTCGAGAGTAGCCATTGTGCCTTCATTTTGCTACCAACTGCGGCACATCATTGCCTGCACTAACTCTGTCTCGGTCGAATCGTTCTGTCACTCCTCAGGTGCGGGGAGAGTCAGAGCATCGAACCGATCCAACAGCCGGTTCAGTTTCCGAGCCATGTCTCGTCTCAGTGCCCGAACCTCCTGGTTCATCGACTGAACGCCGTCCAGACGAAACAGCCAGCACATGATCGTCTCCGTCGCCCGAAGCTTCTCCATAGGCTCGGTAACCACCTTGGCTACAAACTCCTTGTCCCCGAGCCTCTCCTCCATCTCCCGAAGAAGCTTCCGAAGCTCAACAATAGGCTTGGCCACCTCGAACGGCTTAGAGGACCGCACCTGGTGGCCCCTCCAGACTGACTGGATCACCACGGCTGCTTGCTCATCTGTCATACCACTAGAAGTGCTGTTAACAGCAGAGGTGGAATCCTCGGAATCCTTGGCTGCTGTGGTAGTCTGTGGAACCGGCGAAGGTTGCTCTGCTGCTGCTGGGGCTGGTGCTGCAGCTGCTGCTGTTGGTGCTGCTGGTGATGGCGCTGCTACTATTGCGTCCTCTGCTCTAGAGTCAGTCACAGGAATCACCTTCACTGCCACTGGAGTCGATTTTTGAGACGCCTCAAAATGTGCTTCAGTGGCTGCTGTTGCGTCCGTCACAGGAATCACCTTCGCTGCTACAGGACTTGGGGACTGCGCCTTCTGGGGAGACTGAGCTCTCCTGGGGGACGCCGTTTTGCTGGGAGACCTTGATTTCTGTGGGGACGTTTTGGGAGAGTTCTTGGGAGATTCTTTGGGAGATGCGTTGGCAGATGCTGCCCCTGGCGGTGGTGCTGCGGGCTCGAACCCTGCAGGATGATTTGGGGAATTCTCGAAAACGCCCTCAAAAATCGGCTCCAGTTCGGGCATTGACTCGTCGCTGTCGGAATCAGAAAGCGACTCGCTCCAATGCTGCTGCTGTTGCTTCTTCTGCTGTTGAATGGCGGCACTTAGAGCATCCTTCTGCTTCTGCTGCTGCAGCAGTTTCTGCTGCTGCTTCTTTTGCGCTTCGATTTGCGCCAGGTATTCCTGCTGCGCGCGCATCTGCGCCAGATACTCCTCCCGCTTCCGCATCTGCGCCTGCTGGAGCGCGACTGCGTGCGCCTGCCGCCGCGCCTCCTCCTTCCGCAGCTCCTCCTGTCGGCGCAGTTCCGCCTGGCGCCGTTGCTGCGCCTGGTAGTGGGCCGTGGAGCGGGAGTCGAAGGGGTCTTCGACGAACCCCCCCCGCATCCCCGGGTGAGCGTAGTAGCGCGGCGATGTTTCGTGGTACCGAGGATAATAGGGAGACTGGAAGCCGGAAGCAGAATGCCTTGGGAATACCATCTCCGGAAAGCCAAAATCCATGATTTATCTCCTTTTGATGACTAATTCGCGCAGAGATCTGGGCCCTATGCTAGAATAAGTGCAACCTAATGACGTTTGGAATCGTAAAGCAGTAATGTAGCTACGAGGTCAACCGTGCTTGATAGAATCAGCGCTGGTCGAGAGAGATGTGAGAAATGCTGCTCCAATAGTGCAACTTATGATCTGATGAATGATATCTGGTAACGATTAGTGTTTGACGCTGATAGTAGTACACGTAGTCGAGTTGATAGAAGACTAGGTAGTGAAGAAATCGCAGGTCCCCCTCAAATATATACTTTCGGGGTTGCGCCACTTCACCGCGCGCGCCGCGCCAGGAAGCCTCGCGCACGATCCAGGCGCGCGTTCTCGAGGCTTGCGGAAGGATCTGGAACGCGCTGGAAAGCGCTGGAATGCGCTAGAATTTGCGGGAAGCTTCTGGAAGCGGAGCGGAGCTGAAGTTTCTCCTCCCCGTCCCTGTGGGGGGGATCTCCGCGTAACCGCGTTGGAAGGGGTGTGCTTGTGGGGGGGGGGGGGTGCTGCCAGCGCGAAGAGTAGAGACGCGGAACAGAGCGGTCCGCGGATGTGCGCGAGCAGAGGGAAGGTAGGAGGGAGGTGATGCAGCTGCCTTCGCGGCCTCGCGAAAAAATGTCTCTGTAACCAGAAGCAAATGAGTGTAAAAAGAAATCTCAATAAACGTTCTAGACATTGATATTTTGCCGATTATTGTAGGCTACAGCATTCTTCAGCTGCAAATGCCTGACAGCATGAGCAGATGGAGCATATATAAGATCCTAAAATTGTGAAGCCTATGGCGCATATTTGCCTCTACACCCGCTTAAGCTTTTGCGCAACAGCTTTATCGGCCCAGGTGACGAGCACGCACAACACCACCACCCACACCACTCCTCCAAACAGTATCGAAGCATCCCATATCGGATCATCCACCAGGTAACTCCTCAGCTTCAGATGCTGCCAAAAGCTCTCGGTCCAAACAGGATCCACCAGATCCCCATGGCTGCCTGGCCGAGGAGGGGCAATGCTCCAATGGGTGCTGTTGAAGACTAGTCGAGGGGATAAAGCTGGGATATACCTGCAATGGGAAAGAAACGGCAGGGAACAGAAGCGCAGGGGGGTTATGTTCCAATGCGCGGCAATGATGAGTAGGCGAGGGGCCAAGGCCGAGATGTACCTGCTAAGGGGCAAAAGCGGCAGGGAAGAGCAGTGGGAGGGAACAAGCGGTGGGGATAAGGAGTAGTGGTGAAAGAGGGTCCAGTGGATCCCCATGGCATGGTTGCCAATGGTGAAAGCAGTGGGAGGGCATTTTTGAGACGTCTCAAAAATAACCTCATCACACATGAACGGTGGAGATAAGGGGCTATTGAATGCTGTTCCAATGGTGGCGCTGACAACAAGGCGAGGGGACACGGTTGGGATGTGGCAAAAGTGGCAGGGAACAGCAGTGAGAGGGGCTATGCTCCAATAAGTGCTGTTCCCTCTCACGTGGTAAGTGTAACAGTCAAAGGGACAAGGCGGGGACACCCACGTTGCGGTGAAATTTGTTTTCTGTGGCACCTGAAAGCGGGAATTTGCTGTTGGCCGTTGCCCCAACTCTCCCACGCAGACCTCCCAGGCCTTTGGTTCGATCCAGAACCCCCAAAGTTAGTAACGTTGTGGATGAAAGAAATGCTACTCACGTGGTGGAGGAGAGGAGGCATTCGCCCTTGGCTGTTGCCAGCACTCCCACACACACCTCCCCTGCTGCCCCACACCCCCCATTCTCCACACACTCCTTTCCCTTCACTCCCGTCCCTCCTCCTCCTGCCACACTCCCCTCCCTCATCTCTCTCCCCTCCCTCATCTCCCTCCCCTCCCTCATCTCTCTCCCCTCCCTCCCCTCTCTCCCCTCCACTTCCTCCACTCCCTCCTCCCCTCCTCTCGGCTTCACAGCTGTTGTTTTAGCCAAGAAATTCCAAACAAACCGGGGGGTATCGGCAAGGGTATAGAGAGGAGGAGAGGAGGCGGAAGAGGAGGAAGGAGGGGAGGAGGAGGGAGAGACGGACGGAGGAACCCCTAAAAATACCCCAGCGTAATGACTAGGAGCAGGGTCTCTAGGCGTGAGGAGGGAAGAGGCGAGAGGGCAGAGGAGGCCTGGAGAGGGGGAGAGGAGGCAGAGAACGAGGCTGGATATGAGGGAGGTGTTGACTGATGCTTGGAGGGCGAGTGAGGGAGGGGCGCCTGCGAGGAGGAGGAGGGAGCGGGCGAGGAGGGTGGAGGAGAGAGTGAGGGAGGGGAGGTGGACGGAGGGGAGCGTGTCGAGGTGGCTGTTGAGGTAGGGGTTGGAGACTTGTTGGTTGAAATCCGAGAGATGGAGAGCGGAGAGACCTGAATGCTGGGAGGGAGAGAGAGGGCAGGCGGGGGGGGAAGATGGGAAAATGGGAAGAGAAATGGGAGGGGAGGGGGAGGAGTTGAGGTGGCTGTTGAGGTAGGGGTTGGAGACTTCCTGGTTGAAATCCGAGAGATGAAGAGCAGAGAGACCTGCATGCTGGGGAAGGGAGAGGGAACATTTCACAAGGGAAGAGAGAAGGGAGAGTGGCAGAGTGGCTGTTTAGGTGGGGATTGGAGATGTGTTGGTTGAAGTCGGAGAGGGAAGGGGATGGAGGGGAGCGTGTCAAGGTGGCTGTTGAGGTAGGGGTTGGAGACATGTTGGTTGAAGTCGGAGAGATGGAGAGCAGAAAGACCTGCATGCTGGGGAGGGAGGATGAGGGGGGAAAAGGGGAGAGGGGAAAACCAGACGAGGTGGGATGGCGGGGATAGTGTGGAGGTGGCTGCTGAAGTGGGGGTTGGAGACGTGTAGGTTGAAATCGGAGAGGAAAGAGTGGAGAGGAGGAGAGCGGAGAGGAGGAGAGCGGAGAGGAGGAGAGCGCGGAGAGGAGGAGAGCGGAGAGGAGGAGAGCGGAGAGGAGGAGAGCGGAGAGGAGGAGAGCGGAGAGGAGGAGAGCGGAGAGGAGGAGAGCGGAGGAGGAGGAGAGCGGAGAGGAGGGGAGCGGAGAGGAGGGGAGCGGAGAGGAGGGGAGCGGAGAGGAGGGGAGCGGAGAGGAGGGGAGCGGAGAGGAGGGGAGCGGAGAGGAGGGGAGCGGAGAGGAGGGGAGCGGAGAGGAGGAGAGAGCGGAGAGGAGGAGAGCGGAGAGGAGGAGAGCGGGAGAGGAGGAGAGCGGAGAGGAGGAGAGCGGAGAGGAGGAGAGCGGAGAGGAGGAGAGCGGAGAGGAGGAGAGCGGAGAGGAGGAGAGCGGAGAGGAGGAGAGCGGAGAGGAGGAGAGCGGAGAGGAGGAGAGCGGAGAGGAGGAGAGCGGAGAGGAGGAGAGCGGAGAGGAGGAGAGCGGAGAGGAGGAGAGCGGAGAGGAGGAGAGCGGAGAGGAGGAGAGCGGAGAGGAGGAGAGCGGAGAGGAGGAGAGCGGAGAGGAGGAGAGCGGAGAGGAGGAGAGCGGAGAGGAGGAGAGCGGAGAGGAGGAGAGCGGAGAGGAGGAGAGCGGAGAGGAGGAGAGCGGAGAGGAGGAGAGCGGAGAGGAGGAGAGCGGAGAGACCTGGATGCTGGGGGGGGGGAGGAGATGAAACGAGATGGAGTGGCGATGAATGCAGAGACCTGGTATCTCCTCGCTGGCTCCAACCACAACACATCCACACCAGCACGCTTTTACCAGTCTTGGGTTGACTTTTGAGTCGACTCAAAAGTCAACTCGCTTCCACCAGTCTTGGACACCTAGTACCTACACTTCCTGCACTACCTACACTGCACCCACTGCCTTTGAGTCGAGTCAAAAGCTTCCACCAGTGTTGGACACCAGTGTTGGACACCAGTGTTGGACACCAGTGTTGGACACCAGTGTTGGACACCAGTGTTGGACACCAGTCTTGGACACCAGTCTTGGACACCAGTGTTGGACACCAGTCTTGGACACCAGTCTTGGACACCAGTCTTGGACACCAGTGTTGGACACCAGTGTTGGACACCAGTGTTGGACACCAGTCTTGGACACCAGTCTTGGACACCAGTCTTGGACACCAGTGTTGGACACCAGTGTTGGACACCAGTGTTGGACACCAGTGTTGGACACCAGTGTTGGACACCAGTCTTGGACACCAGTCTTGGACACCAGTGTTGGACACCAGTCTTGGACACCAGTCTTGGACACCAGTCTTGGACACCAGTCTTGGACACCAGTCTCGAACACCAGTCTCGAACACCAGTCTCGAACACCAGTCTCGGACACCAGTCTCGAACACCAGTCTCGGACACCAGTCTCGGACACCAGTCTCGGACACCAGTCTCGGACACCAGTCTCGGACACCAGTCTCGGACACCAGTCTCGGACACCAGTCTCGGACACCAGTCTCGGACACCAGTCTCGGACACCAGTCTCGGACACCAGTCTCGGACACCAGTCTCGGACACCAGTCTCGGACACCAGTCTCGGACACCAGTCTCGGACACCAGTCTCGGACACCAGTCCCGGACACCAGTCTCGGACACCAGTCTCGGACACCAGTCTCGGACACCAGTCTCGGACACCAGTCTCGGACACCAGTCTCGGACACCAGTCTTGGACACTAGTCGGGTCTCCCACCTTCCTCACTGCTTACTACCTGCACTGCCTACAGCACTGTACGCACTCTGTCACCTCAGCAGACACTGCAAGCAGTGAGGAAGGTGGGAGCCCCCATGTCTACTCACCAGTTTCCTTCACAGGCACACAAGCACCAGCGCCCTCTTACCAACCAGCCTTTGGACATACTAGTACCTGCATTGCCTGCAGCAACACTCGGTTACACTCACCTCAGCCGACATTGCAAGAAGGGATGAGTGTGGAAGACCCGGCGTCTCCTCACTGGCCTCCTTCACACGCACACTCACATCAGCAGCTGCTGCCGCTCCAACCCCATTTCCAGTGATTCTGACCAATCAGTTACTCTCACCTCTGTCGACAATGCGAGCAGGGATGAGGGTGGGAGACCCGGTGTCTCCTCACTGGCTTCCTCCACTCGCACACCTTACACCCGCAACAGAGCTCATCCCAGCCAATTCCAGCATCTCAGTTTCCCTCACCTCAGCTGACAGTGCGAGCAGGGATGAGGGCGGGAATCCAGGCCTCTCCTCACTGGCTTCCTCCACACGCACACCCGCATCAGCAGGTGCTGCCGCGCTCTCTCCTTCTAATTCATCTTCTTGAGGAAAGGAAGGACTCTCTTTGATAGATGCCGCTGCTGCTCTCACTGCGTCTGCCATGGCTGCTGCTCCTGCCGGCTGGTGATTTGAGGGAGAGGTTCATGGACGGTACATGGGCGGTGCATTTTGAGTCAACTCACAACAAAACACCGTGTTTTGAGTCCGACTCAAAACACTGCTCCTGCCTGCTGGTGATGAGAGGGGGAGGTTCATGGACGGTACATGGGCGGTGCATGGGCAGCAGAATGAGAAGCATGTGAGAGGAGAAAATAACAAGTGCTTTCGAAAGTCTCATTCGCAGAGGCACACGATGAGACAATAAGCACTACGCATGTCCAAGAACATGACTCATGTGTCATAATAAGCACCGTAGTTGTGTTGTGAGTAACCGATAGGAGAAGTGAGTAGCAGAAACAACAAGCAACAACAAACCCAACAGACGGGCTTGCTACAAAACTCCTTTTTTTTTTTTTTGTGTCGAATCAGGTAAACCGTCCAGGCAACAACAGGCAATCATGCTGTACACATATGTGATCAGTGTTATGCTGTTACATACGCACCATGGGCTTTTCATGATGCATGAACAGTGTCACATCCTCGTGAGTCCCATTCCCTCCTGCTCCTGCCTTTCCCACCGATCCGACTTCCACCATCTGTGCCTGATGGGACATACAAGAAAGGAGGGGGAAACAACCAAGATGTGATGGCACAACATGGAGAAGAGGAGATTAGAGGAGGAATATGTGCTTTGATGATCAGACCGAGGTATACATGCGATGAAGGGGAAAAGAACAAGTAGGAGAAGAGGAAGTGCATACAGGTCCAAGTGAAGAAGACTAAGAGAAGAGCATGTGTAAGTGAAAACAAAAACAACAGCATTAAGGATCAACATTTGGATACTGGTTAAGGAAATCTGGTTTGAAACAATAGCATAAGTGTGAGATTTGAACACTGGTTTAGAATACCAGTGTTGCAGGACAAATACAGAAGAAAGCTCTCAGCCAGTAGGCATGATACGTTCTAGTCCACACCTTTCACTGTTCACATTCGGTGTCATCGGTGCCTTTCTCCTCTAGATATCCTTCAAATTGCACGGAAAGAGAATCGACGCACGATATTGAGCGAATGACGAAGGAAGAATATCAGCGGAGAGCTACGGCAGAAGGGAAGGTTGCTGCACTGCAGCGAGAAGTGGAGAAACTGCAGGTGCGAGTGCCATGCTCGAGCATGACGCTCTCACCTGCAGTTTCTTCACTTCCTGCCTCAGTGCAGCATCATCCCCCTCTGCCGTAGCTCTCCACAAATACTCTTCCCCCGTTACTTGCTCAGTGTAAGTGCCACACGCTTGCAATACTATTGCCATGTCGAGAATATGTGCGTATACCTCTGTGAAGTCTTCAAAAGAAAGCCCTTGCAGCACATCTCTCCCTACTCCTTTTTCCCCCCTGGACCACTTTTCCAGCTCAAACAGCAGTCGCCACAACCCCAGCTAGTCCCATCGCTCCCCTTAGAGCAATGGTGCTTGCCACTCGATTATGTGCATACCTGAGTGAAGTCGTCAAGAGAAAGCCCTTGAAGCACATCTCTCCCTACTCCTTCTTCCCCCTTGGACCACTTTTCCAGCTCGAACAGCAGTCGCCGCGACCCCAGGTAGCCCCATCGCTCCCCATTTAGAGCAAGGAAGAGGAGCTGGGGGGGGGGGGGGGGGATAAAAGGAGACGTAAGAGAGGGAGGCTGAAATTAGACCGAAAGGTAACATTTACAGGTGGTGCATGTGGGCGGTTAGATGCTTTGGGATTCAAGTGAAGTAAATCTATACGAGCGCATAGTACATAAGCTATGCAAGAATGCGTTAGAGTACTTTCATAATTGAAAAGTGGCTTGAGTGGCAACTGCAATATCAAGGTGCAAGAATGCGTTACAGTACTTTCATAAGCTGGTTACCTGCTTGGGTAGGTTACCTGCTTGGGTAGGTTACCTGCTTGGGTAGGTTACCTGCTTGGGTAGGTTACCTGCTTGGGTAGGTTACCTGCTTGGGTAGGTTACCTGCTTGGGTAGGTTACCTGCTTGGGTAGGTTACCTGCTTGGGTAGGTTACCTGCTTGGGTAGGTTACCTGCTTGGGTAGGTTACCTGCTTGGGTAGGTTACCTGCTTGGGTAGGTTACCTGCTTGGGTAGGTTACCTGCTTAGGTAGGTTACCTGCTTGGGTAGGTTACCTGCTTGGGTAGGTTACCTGCTTGGGTAGGTTACCTGCTTGGGTAGGTTACCTGATTGGGTAGGTTACCTGCTTGGGTAGGTTACCTGCTTGGGAAGGTCCAGGACGGGGGGTTTTCGAAGGAGAGATGCAATGGCGTCTGCTGCTGCTAGCAAACAGATGAGACCCTGCGGGAAGGGGGAAGAAAGAGGGATAGGGCACGCAAACACACGGAAACTATGCAATGGCGTCTGCTGCTGCTAGCAAAGAGATGAGACCCTGATGACGGGGAGAGAAAAAGGTTACGAGGCAATCATGCGTGTGTCATGACCAATGATGATTCATGGTTCATGGTTCATACACCACAATGCACGGATCATGCATCGTGCAACATGATTCATGATTCATGAGAGACCCGGCAAGCAACAATGTATCACCATTCGCGTATCATGAGTCATGAGTCATGGGTCAAGCACCAATGATAACCCATGAGAGCTTGACCTCCATCGCAGCAGCGATGTTTGAGGCGCCTCAAAATTTATGGCCATTCATGTATCATGAGTCATGAATGGCTATAAACGAGTCATGTGTCACGTGTCATGAGTCATGAGTCATGATAACCCGTGAGAGCTTGACCTCCATCGCAGCAGCGGCCGAAGAATCTTCCGTGCACCCTTCAAGAATGTGCACGGAAGGTAAGTAATATGAATCCAGCTACTCACATAAACAGGAGACTCGGCCCCGACAGCAGTGTCAACAGGAAACAACAACAAGGCAGTCCATCTGAGCCATGGTTAAGTGACTTTCGAGTCCACGCTCAAAAGCCAAAAGACTCACGGAAACGGGAGACTCGGCCCCAGCTGCAGCGTCACAGAACAGAGGTAGCATACATCTTACCTTCAAATAGTGCACCTTAACGAATGGGAAGAGACTCACAGAAATAGGAGACTCCGCCCCAACAGCAGCGTCACGGAAGAGAGGGGAAGCATCCATGGGAATCACAGGTGTGTTTAGAGTCAAAACAACACAAAATTGAACAATTAACTCACAGAAATAGGGGACTCCGCCCCAACAGCAGCGTCACGGAAGATCGAGGCAGCATCCATGTGAGCCATGGGAATCACAGGTGTGTTTAGAGTCAAACCAACACAAAATTGAACAATTAACTCACGGAAATAGGGGACTCCGCCCCAACAGCAGCGTCACGGAAGAGAGGGGAAGCATCCATGTGAGCCATGGGAATCACAGGTGTGATTAGAGTTGAAACAACACAAAACTGAACAATTAACTCACGGAAATAGGGGACTCCGCCCCAACAGCAGCGTCACGGAAGAGAGGGGAAGCATCCATGTGAGCCATGGGAATCACAGGTGTGTTTAGAGTCAAAACAACACAAAATTGAAGAATTAACTCACGGAAATAGGGGACTCCGCCCCAACAGCAGCGTCACGGAAGAGCGAGGCAGCATCCATCTGAGCCATGGCGATCACCAGCGGCTTCCTGGAAGGTTCCTTGCTTGCAACGTCTATGGGAGGTAGAGATGCCATCACACTGTGATGATGATGCGAGCAGAGCAGATGGGTGGCATGGGGTGCGACGGGGTGAAATAGGGTAGGGTAGGGTACGATGTGGTGAGATAGGGTAGAGTAGGGTAAGATGGGGTGAGATAGGATAGGGTAGGGTGCAATGGGTTGAGATGGGGTAGGGTACGATGGGGAGAGATAGGGTAGGGTGCGATGGGGGTATGACCAGATCAAGAGTGGGTTACCTGTAGCCTCCGAGGGGGAGGCAGGAAAGGTTGTCGAGACAGGCTTGGGATGTGGTTGCTCCTATTCGCGTGGTCTGATGCTCACAGGGGGATAGGGGAGAGAGAGAGAGGGAAGCGAGAAGTGGCAAGAGTGGAAAGATTGGCGAGTGGAAAGAGATTGGCAAGAGAGGCAAGAGAGGCGAAATTGGCAAGATTGGTTGGTCACACAAGCATACGATAGGGATCCTCCAACTCGTATGGTCTAATGTTGGCAGGGAGCTTGTGGGAAAGAGCTGATGGGAAATAAAGACAGTACGGAAAAAAGATTGAGGCGCCTCAAAAATAGAGACAGAAGAGAAAAGCGACAGAAAGAGAAGGAGGAGACTCAGAGAAAGTAAACTCGCCTGAAAATCACATTGCCCCCCTCCCCTCCCAAAAAAATCAAGACTACAATTTTTACAAACAACGAAAGATCAACGCACTTACGGTCATGATGGCATCGAATTCAGCCATGTAAAGCGGGTAGCGGAAGTCCCGTCGACTGTTGGCCTCTGCTTTCTGACCGCCACATGGATACCATGCACGCCATGCATGTCAACAAGCCAACATGCCATACATGCCATACATGTCATACATGCCAACATGTCAACATGCCATGGATACCATGCATGTTAGCATGCCACCATGCCACCATGTATGCCACCATGTCACCATGCAATCAAAACAAACACATCACGCCACCCGGCCATGGAATCACCATACATACGAACATTCGTTCCAGCATGACCAAAACGTTACACAACAACAATAACAAGGAAATAATTACCACAGCATAAGGGGTGTGGTACAGTTCAATATTAAGAGTAGCTTGATCTGAGAGGAGGGAGACTAGGAGGAAGAATGGCAGGGGATAGAGGGGCCAGCTGAGGGACGGGAGAGTGGGTGGAGAGGAAGGGTTGTAGTTCTCACAAGGCGTATATCAGCTGTAGCTTGATCCGAGAGGAGGGAGACCGGGAGCTGGAATGGCAAGCGATCAAGAGATGAGCCGACGGGGTTCCAGGGGTATGAGGTGTTGGGGTAGGTGGCGAAGGGGGACTGGGGGAAGGGGGACGAGGGGGAGAGGGCTGGGAGAGGGTGCAGACACAGAGAGAAAGGGAAGGATGGTATCTGGATTGAAAGCAGCAGCGAGTGAACGTGAAGCAGAGTAACTGGGAATGTGTTGCAGACAAGAGAGACTCACACGCTCGCTGTCTACCAGACTGGTGACCAAAAGGGGAGTCATATCACAAGAATGAGCCTTATCAATTCAGAGTCTTACCATGACTCTAGGAATATTTGAGCCGTTTTGAAACAAGGAATGTGTAGCAGATGGAAGGGACTCACTCGCTGTCTACCAGACCGGCGATGAAAAGGGGAGGGAGCTATGATTGAGTCGTATTAGTTCAGATTCTTACCAGGAACAGATGACTGGTTAGCAGACTCTACCATGATCCCTGCCACGTTGCTGACAAGGATTGGATCCTTGGATATTCTGACAACACACAAATACACACGCAGCACGCATCAGGTGAAAGCACTTCAGTCTGGCTTCAAGCTTCAAGGGACCAGGGGAGTGGAAGATAGGGGGTTGAAGGGGCGAACGAATTGCAAGACACCTCTGCTCAGAGGCACTTCAGAAAAGGGCACTCGTGACATGCTTCAAGCTTACAGTGAGAGCACGCGGTGCAGCACTGCTGGCGACACCACGAGTGCTCGAGGGGAGTGGAGGAGAGAAAGCTCGGAGGGCGAGGAGATGGCCTGAATCGGGGCGGATACGATTTCCCTGCCAGGGTCTGGTTGGGTGGGGAGAGATGCAGAGAGGTGGAGAGACGTGCGGAGAGGTAAGGAGAGGTAGGCTAGCGCTCCGACCACTCAGCTGGAAAGACCATGAGGGCTCGAGGTAAGTGGAGGAGGGGAGTGAGGGCTGGGAAGGCGAGGAGATGACCTGAATTGGGGTGGATACGATTTCCCTGCCAGGGTCTACAGTACAGAAAACATCTATTGCACAAAAATGCTACAGTGGATAACTCACTTCCGCACCCAATAGGCCCTTCAGTTGATAACAGCCGCACGCATGGCCAGTTCGCAGCTTCGGTGTACATGGCTGCCTCCAGGTCCGGCACCGAGGCAAACTGCTGCCGGGATGCCGAGCCTGGAAAGGTACAGTGAAAGTGTCAGTGAAAGTGACAGACAGGGGGACGGAAAGGTGGGAATTATCAGATAAAGAAGAGATAATGATGACTACGATGGTGCTGAGCCTGCTGAGAGGGTGACAATAGAAAGTGTGATAAATTCGCATGATATCGCTTATGCAAACGTGAATTCGCTACTTATTAGCAATAAGAAACATATACTCCCTAAATATCCGTAGTAAGAGGGTAATTTCGATAGACACTATCAAGAACGCAAAACTCTTGCGAGATCATGGAAACTATACTTCTCACATCGGTTGTCGAATCCCGAATTCGCTAACTGTCGTTGCTAGTGAACAACTGGTGCGTACGTTGCTGGAAATTCTCGAAACGGAATCCACGAGTGAGAAATCTCAAAAGCAGAACTAATTAAAAGATCGTGCAAACCTTGTTCTGCTGGTTGCTACGCACCTTGCAGAGAGCCGGCGAGAGCGCATTTGAGAAAGATGACTGGAAGCAGGACGAAGAGCTGATAAAACGGCACTCCACGCGTTGAACGCGAGAAAGACATTTTGAGCGAACGAGTCACGGCATTCCCGTAAAGCACATCTCGGTCGCACGGAAATCAATACTAGCGTTAGGGATTAACTCAGCCACCTGACGTGTGGTCAGTCGTAGCATCCCATACTAATCGATATGTGTGGAATTCTATGCAAGGCTGTGCAAGGTTGCTGTTGCTAGGGCGTGTACAGCGTAGAAATTGGCAAATACTCCACATAGCAATTCAGTTCAGTTACTCGTGACTTGTTACTTTAGTCTATGAAGAAATAAGTCACACCATGTAGAATAAGAACACAATACTAAATTACATTAAAGACGACCAAATCAACGAAGTTCACAGAAATCTTGCAAGGACGATTACAAAAAGAATCAAAAGGTGTCTGCCACATTAGCCAGAGTCTGCAGCCCAGAAAAAAATTCAAGGAGCCCCTAAAGGTGGCGGCGGTGGCAACAACCTAATCAGCGCATTGTATAGTGATTGCGCGTAAATATCTACACCTCCCGGGAAACAGTAATGCAAGCAATCAGTTTTGTTCCTTTCCGGGCTAAAACCGTGATGCCCATCTGCTCTCAAAGCCAGCATTTCTTCAACGTCCAAATACACCCCGCCGACCTGCTCCACCAATTCTTTAGCCAGCCGATTTTGCTCAGGTAAATCCCTCCAGTAATACGGCAGGCTTTCGGTCGGCTGCCGCTTTTCTAGTGGTCGGTCGAAATTTTCGCAGTCATTGTGCCCTGGAGGGGTATTCCTGTATATAATGAGTTTACCCGGGAAATTGTACCTCACGAAGCGCAACGCGTTTTGTACGCCCGAGACGAAGAGCGGCGTGGGGGTCCAGTGCTGGCCTCTATTCAAAACGACGACGTCTGCAGAGGGGATGTCAGCGACGCCCGGCTGAGCCCATGGCATGCGATCGAAATTGGGGCCTCGGGAATCGAAGATGGAGATGTGATCGTTGCGAAGGTAGTCTACCCTTAGGCCTGGGCACGCTGAGGAGTTGAAGGTGTACCTGTGGTGTGTCAAGAGGGGGGGGAGGGGTGGAAGAGGGGAGGAATGAAATGTGGTCACCGCGAAGGTGGCCTATCCTAAGGCCCGGGCAGGCTGAGGAGTTGAAGGTGTACCTGCAATGCGGTGGGGTGGGGTGGGGTGGGGTGGGGTGGGGTGGGTGGAGAGAGAAGGGGAGGTGGGGAGAGGAAGAGGAACGGGGTGTGGTTGTTGCGAAGGTAGTCTAGTCTGAGAGACCGGGGCAAGCCGAGGAGTTGAAGGTATACCTGGGGTGGGGGAAGCAGGGGGTGTGCGGGTTGTGAGGGTAGAAGCGGGGGAGGAACTGGGTGTGAAAGTTGCGAAGGTAGTCTATTCTGAGACTTGGGCAGGCCAGGGCAGGCCGAGGACTTGAACATGTACCATCTCCTCGACCCGAGTTGACTTTTGAGTCGACTCAAAAGTCAACTCGCCGAGGACCATCTCTGAACATGTACCATCTCCTCGGCCCGGGCAGCGCTTCAGGTACTGCTTCGAGTGCCTATAAGGCGACTCTCTATCAGGAGGTTCGTTAAAGGCGACTCACTATTAGACAACTGAGTTACTGTAAGGAGACTTACCACTGGCAGAATTCATGAGTCTTCTCAGGGTCCCCTCCCAGCACATCCACACACCGCTTCGGGTGATCCTCCAACCCCACCATCTAGCAGAACTCACAAGACTCACTATAAGGCGACTCAATACAAACAAGGCAATTCAGTCAGGCACGACTCACTCACCACTGGCAGAACTCATGGGACATCTTGGCGGGGTCCCCTCCCAGCACGTCCACACACAGCTTCGGGTGATCCTCCAACCCCACCATCTCCCATGCCGGCTTCTTCCTATCCCACGCCATCAGGTTCAAGAAAGACTCCACCATCTGGTACTGCTTCGAGTCCCCCACCACTAGAATGCGCCTGCCCCGCCCCACCCGCTCGCAGAACACCGATGCGTTGAACGGAAGAAACGGGTTCGATAGGTCGACGGACTGCCGCTGCTGCTGCCGCTGCTGCTGCCGCCGCTGCTTCTGCTGCTCGTCTTGCTTCCGCCGTTCCGCCCTTCTCTACCTGAATCTCCTCGAGTCGCGCCTTGGCCGATCGCTCAAAGGCTTTAATCTCCTCGGGCACTTGAGGTGCCAGGCATGTGGAGGGGCCAACCACCCACTCGTACTTCACCCCCTCCCGTACTGTCCATCCCTCCTCAGTTGCACCAGGACTCACTGCGTATGCATCTGCATACTTTGCATATGCCATGCCGGTAGGGTGTGATTCGAGGTATCTTCTGTCGCACATGTTGCTTACCCCACGGTAATCCCAAGGGAGGGTGCGGGGTTTCGGGTTTCGAACCCACTTGCCCTTGTTGCCGATGCAGGCTGCCCAGTTTTTGAAAAGTTTCACCTGTTGCTGCCCGTGGATAAGAGACCCTGGGATGGATTTTGTTCGCAGGGCTGCCCGTTCTGCCCGGCTGCCTCCGGGCAGCGCCGGACTGAAGAAAACTTCGGTTGAGAGGAGCTGCATGAGCAGGGTCAACGCGAGTCTGTCGCAGAGGAGTTTTTCGGGCTGCCCGGGAAGGTTGCGGTATTTGCAGAAGAGAGTGTGGTGACGGAGGGAGAGGGAGTGAGAGAGAGCGCGGTGGGAGGAGGAGGGATGAGAGGAGGGTTGAATCTCGAGCACGACAGCAGCAGGCGGCATGAAGAGAATGAAGTCCAGAGCTTCCCCTGGTGGTGAGATGAGGAGCAGCGTGCGCGAGAAGAGAGCCCTGGCTGTTGGGCGGAAGGGGGGAGGACGGGGTGGAGGGGTTGGGGAGATGGGGAAGGTGGTTGGATGATTGTGAGTGGAGCATGAAGAGAATGAAGTCGAGAGCCTCCCCTGGTGGTGAGATGAGGAGCAGCGTGCGCGAGAAGAGAGCCCTGGCTGTTGGGCGGAAGGGGGGAGGACGGGGTGGAGGGGTTGGGGAGATGGGGAAGGTGGTTGGATGATTGTGAGTGGAGCATGAAGAGAATGAAGTCGAGAGCCTCCCCTGGTGGTGAGATGAGGAGCAGCGTGCGCGAGAAGAGAGCCCTGGCTGTTGGGCGGAAGGGGGGAGGACGGGGTGGAGGGGTTGGGGAGATGGGGAAGGTGGTTGGATGATTGTGAGTGGAGCATGAAGAGAATGAAGTCGAGAGCCTCCCCTGGTGGTGAGATGAGGAGCAGCGTGCGCGAGAAGAGAGCCCTGGCTGTTGGGCGGAAGGGGGGAGGACGGGGTGGAGGGGTTGGGGAGATGGGGAAGGTGGTTGGATGATTGTGAGTGGAGCATGAAGAGAATGAAGCCGAGAGCCTCCCCTGGCGGCGAGATGAGGAGGAGCGTACGAGAAAAGAGAGCCCTGGCTGTTGGGCGGAGGAGGGAGGGGTGGGGATTGGGGGATGTGGGAGAGGAATCAGGAGGGGAGAGAGCTGGAAACAATGACAAGGCAGTCGAAAGCCTCCCCTCCCCTGGTGGCGAGATGAGGAGCAGTGGGGCCGCGAGAAAAGAGCCCTGGCTGCTGGGAGGGAAAAGTAAAGGGGGGCGGGAGGAGGCGAAAGAGGAGGGGGGGGGGGGGGGGAGGAAGAGAGGCAAGAAGGGAATCGTGCTAAGAGCTCAGAAAATGGCTTTCCCTTGTGGCGAGATGAGGAGGAGCAGCGTGCGAGAAGAGAGCCCTGGCTGTTTGGAGGGAAGGGGGAGGGGTTGGGGAGATCAGGTGGGTGGACATATGATTGTAAGTGAAGGATGAAAGGAATCAAGTCTAGAGCTGAGATGGGGAGGACCACCTTCCTGACTCCCTCACTCACCTTCCTCCACATACATCCCCTACTCTCACCTCCCTTCTCTCCCATCCCTCCTCACTCACCTTCCTCCACGCCCATGCCTCCTCGGAAATAGACCACCCGCCCATGCCACCAGTTATCTTGGATTATCTCATCCACCATCTCCTCCATTCTATCCAATAGCATCGCGCCAGGTGGCACTGCCACCACCACTACCCAATCCTCCCCAACCATCCTCCGCACACCCCCAAACACATCCACCTCCACGTCACCAGCCGCTGCCCCTTCTGCAGCACCCGCCACGTCAGCCGCCACGTCAGCGGAGACGGGCCTGCCAGGTGGCGGGAGCGGGATAGATGGCGGGCGCCTGAGCGTCCAGTTGGCGTGGAAGAGGGGGAGGCCCGCGGGAGGGAGGAGGTGGTGTGAGCGCAGCGAGGAGAGGAGCGCTGGGGAGGGGCGGTTGCAGTGCTGGAAGCAGGGCTGGGAGGGGTGAGCGGGAGGGGGAAGTGGGGGGGAAGGGGGGGAGGAAGAGAGGGAAACGGGAGAGGGGGTATGTTTCGAAGAGAGGAGAGGAGCGCTGGGGAGGGGCGGGTGCAACGCTGGAAGCAGGGCTGGTAGGGGGGGAGAGGAGGGGGGGGAGGCGGGGGAGAGAGGGGACGGGGGAAGGGGACTAGAGGGAAAGAGGAGAGGGAGCATGTTTCGAAGGGCGGAGAGGAGAGGTGGGGAGGGGGCGGGTGCGGGGAGGAGTGGAAGGGGGTGGGGAGATGGGGTAAAAGGATGGTTGGTTTCGAAAGCTGGAAGAAGGGCTGGGGGGGCGGGGGGGGAGGAGAAGAGGAGGGGGGGAGGGGGTGTGGAGAGGGAAAGGGGGGGGGCAGGGAAGGGTGCAGAAGAGAGTGAGGGCGAGAAGGAAAGGGGAGAAGGGTGGGTGGGGGAGATACTTTTGAGAATTCTCAAAAGTGATTCCCAAACGAGAAGGAAAGGGGAGAAGGGTGGGTGGGGGAGAGATATAGACTTGAGATCAACCCATGCATCCGACTTACCAGAATGATAAAAGAGATGTTTTGAGACGTCTCAAAACATCTCTTTTATCACGAGGAAAGGGGAGAAGGGTGCGTGGGGGAGAGATATAGACTTGAGATCAACCCATGCATCTGACTTACCAGAATGATAAAAGAGATGTTTTGAGACGTCTCAAAACATCTCTTTTATCACGAGGAAAGGGGAGAAGGGTGCGTGGGGGAGAGATATAGACTTGAGATCAACCCATGCATCCGACTTACCAGAATGATAAAAGAGATGTTTTGAGACGTCTCAAAACATCTCTTTTATCACGAGGAAAGGGGAGAAGGGTGCGTGGGGGAGAGATATAGACTTGAGATCAACCCATGCATCTGACTTACCAGAATGATAAAAGAGATGTTTTGAGACGTCTCAAAACATCTCTTTTATCACGAGGAAAGGGGAGAAGGGTGCGTGGGGGAGAGATATAGACTTGAGATCAACCCATGCATCCGACTTACCAGAATGATAAAAGAGATGTTTTGAGACGTCTCAAAACATCTCTTTTATCACGAGGAAAGGGGAGAAGGGTGGGTGGGGGAGAGATATAGACTTGAGATCAACCCATGCATCCGACTTACCAGAATGATAAAAGAGATGTTTTGAGACGTCTCAAAACATCTCTTTTATCACGAGGAAAGGGGAGAAGGGTGCGTGGGGGAGAGATATAGACTTGAGATCAACCCATGCATCCGACTTACCAGAATGATAAAAGAGATGTTTTGAGACGTCTCAAAACATCTCTTTTATCACGAGGAAAGGGGAGAAGGGTGGGTGGGGGAGAGATATAGACTTGAGATCAACCCATGCATCCGACTTACCAGAATGATAAAAGAGATGTTTTGAGACGTCTCAAAACATCTCTTTTATCACGAGGAAAGGGGAGAAGGGTGCGTGGGGGAGAGATATAGACTTGAAATCAACCCATGCATCCGACTTACCAGAATGATAAAAGAGATGTTTTGAGACGTCTCAAAACATCTCTTTTATCACGAGGAAAGGGGAGAAGGGTGCGTGGGGGAGAGATATAGACTTGAGATCAACCCATGCATCCGACTTACCAGAATGATAAAAGAGATGTTTTGAGACGTCTCAAAACATCTCTTTTATCACGAGGAAAGGGGAGAAGGGTGGGTGGGGGAGAGATATAGACTTGAGATCAACCCATGCATCCGACTTACCAGAATGATAAAAGAGATGTTTTGAGACGTCTCAAAACATCTCTTTTATCACGAGGAAAGGGGAGAAGGGTGCGTGGGGGAGAGATATAGACTTGAGATCAACCCATGCATCTGACTTACCAGAATGATAAAAGAGATGTTTTGAGACGTCTCAAAACATCTCTTTTATCACGAGGAAAGGGGAGAAGGGTGCGTGGGGGAGAGATATAGACTTGAGATCAACCCATGCATCCGACTTACCAGAATGATAAAAGAGATGTTTTGAGACGTCTCAAAACATCTCTTTTATCACGAGGAAAGGGGAGAAGGGTGCGTGGGGGAGAGATATAGACTTGAGATCAACCCATGCATCCGACTTACCAGAATGATAAAAGAGATGTTTTGAGACGTCTCAAAACATCTCTTTTATCACGAGGAAAGGGGAGAAGGGTGCGTGGGGGAGAGATATAGACTTGAGATCAACCCATGCATCTGACTTACCAGAATGATAAAAGAGATGTTTTGAGACGTCTCAAAACATCTCTTTTATCACGAGGAAAGGGGAGAAGGGTGCGTGGGGGAGAGATATAGACTTGAGATCAACCCATGCATCCGACTTACCAGAATGATAAAAGAGATGTTTTGAGACGTCTCAAAACATCTCTTTTATCACGAGGAAAGGGGAGAAGGGTGCGTGGGGGAGAGATATAGACTTGAGATCAACCCATGCATCTGACTTACCAGAATGATAAAAGAGATGTTTTGAGACGTCTCAAAACATCTCTTTTATCACGAGGAAAGGGGAGAAGGGTGCGTGGGGGAGAGATATAGACTTGAGATCAACCCATGCATCCGACTTACCAGAATGATAAAAGAGATGTTTTGAGACGTCTCAAAACATCTCTTTTATCACGAGGAAAGGGGAGAAGGGTGGGTGGGGGAGAGATATAGACTTGAGATCAACCCATGCATCCGACTTACCAGAATGATAAAAGAGATGTTTTGAGACGTCTCAAAACATCTCTTTTATCACGAGGAAAGGGGAGAAGGGTGCGTGGGGGAGAGATATAGACTTGAGATCAACCCATGCATCCGACTTACCAGAATGATAAAAGAGATGTTTTGAGACGTCTCAAAACATCTCTTTTATCACGAGGAAAGGGGAGAAGGGTGCGTGGGGGAGAGATATAGACTTGAGATCAACCCATGCATCCGACTTACCAGAATGATAAAAGAGATGTTTTGAGACGTCTCAAAACATCTCTTTTATCACGAGGAAAGGGGAGAAGGGTGGGTGGGGGAGATATATAGACTTGAGATCAACCCATGCATCCGACTTACCAGAAACAGTCTATGAGCGAAGTGCAGGTGGGTTGGCTCGTCAGGCTGAGAGGTGACATCTGAGTCCACTCTAACACATGCCTTTTTTTTTTTTAAGCCGAGATCAAGTCACATACATCCGGCGTACCAGAATCAGTCTGTGAGCGAAGTGCAGGTGGATTGGCTCGTCAGGCTGAGGCAGCAGCGTGGCCTGGAGTGGATGGCTCCCCAGGAAATGGGGGGCCAGCATGTGAAGCCACTGGTGGGGTGGGGTGGGGTGGGGTGGGGTGGGGTGGGGTGGGGTGGAATGGAAGAGAGGGCGTTTTCGACGTCTCAAAACTCGTCAGGCTGAGGCAGCAGCGTGGCCTGGAGTGGATGGCTCCCCAGGAAATGGGGGGCTAGCATGTGACGCCACTGGTGGGGTGGGGTGGGTTGGATTGGGTGGAAAAGAGAGTGAAAAAGTAATGGTAAGGAAGGGAAGCTAAGGAAGGTGAAGGGACAGAAGGGCAAGGCACGGCAAGACAAGGAGGCAGCAGTGTGGCTTCGCGGGGAGAGCTTCCCAGGAAATGGGGCGCCACCATGTGAAGCCACTGGTGGGGGGTTGGGTTGGAAGTCAATGGGGTGGGGTGGAAGGGAAGGGACGGAAGGGAGGGTAAGAAAAGGCATGGCGCAGCAAGGCAAGGAGGCAGCAGCGTGGCCTGGAGCGGATGACTCCCCAGGAAATAGGGCGCGAGCATGTGAAGCCACTGGTAGGGTGGGGTGGGTTGGGGTGGGGGGGGGGGGGGGGGGGGAGGAAAGGGCTTTGAGGCGTCTCAAAACTCG